AGAAGGAGATGTGTGAATCCTTTGCCCTGGACTTGGGAGTTGGGACCAATGAATAAATTTATTGGCATGAGGATTACCCATAACAGATCGGCCACAAAGCTGTGGCTATTGACGAAAAATATATTGAAAAGGTCTTGAAAGGTTATATTAAGTCAAAGCAAAACCAGTTAGCTCTCTTCCCGCTGATCACTTCATTTAAGGCCCTACACAAGGTCCTAGTGAGGAAGTGAAAGAAAAAATTGAGGGAGTTTCTTATGTTTCTAAAGTATGCAGTCTGCTGTATGCAATGTTGTGTACAAGGCAGAAAGAGCTTGTATAGTTGGTGTTATCAACAGGTTCCTCTCTAACTGTCACAGAGAATTCTGGGCTGCAACAAAATGAATTTTCAGGTATCACAAGGGCACCAGGGTTTATCTTTGTGCAGGAAATAGTAAAACTAGTTTAGAAGGGTATACAGATACAGATAGGCTAGATTTATCAATTTCGATACTTGATCACTATTGCAGAATGAGCGGTATTGTGGCAATCCAAATTACAGAAATGCATTACTCTTTCAACTACATAAGCTGAGTTTGTAGTTGCTCTTTCTACTACTAAAGCTGCATATGCAGCAGCAACAAAAGCTTGCAAGGAGATGCCATGGATGAAAAGATTTCTAAAAAAATCAGGGATAAAGCAAGAGATCCATCTTAGCAAGAATCAAAGTTCTCAATCAATTCGGAGCACATATAATTGAGATGGGTTTGACACAAAGTTGTGGAGTGAGAAAAGAAAAAAAAAAATACATGCTAACAAGAATGGCTCAAATTTGATAACCAAGAGATTACCCAAGGAAACTATAAAGCTTGTAAAATTATGATGGGAATGGTGGACCTCTGCACAAGTCCCGAGGGGAAAATTTGTTGGGTATTCCTCATATGTAGAGGAAGTGGACTCAGGCTTAAGCTCAATTGCCTTGCGCCCATGGGGAAGTTTGAGCCCATATAAAACTCATTCCATTCCGTACTTATTCACACATGTGAGGGTGCAGATATCTATAACATGTTTCACCATTGGTGTTTAGTTTAGCTTCCTTGGGAAGATTCCCACATATAGTATGTGCAATCAGCTGGGTAGGTGATATTATGGAGGATATAACAGATTGTATGAGAGGAGAAAACGCTACTCCGGTGAGAAAAAAAGTGAAAAATAGCAGTCCACTTCCAGTATCAATCAAAGGTGATTCGGTTTATGATCAAGCTTTAGGAGATTGCATATGATGTTGCCATGTTGGAAGCACGACATCCAACTGTTGGATTCCCATTTGGGCTGTCTAACAGTACTTTTCCTGTAACCATTTCCAGCCCCACGCTGATGAGATTTTCACATTCTTTATGTTGAAATCCAACTAATTAGGAGAAGTATACTCATCGCTGTTATCTTTGTTAATGATGAAATTTATTCTCTTACTGAATATACATTGTAAACGCATTATTTTCATATAGTGATGAATCTAGTTGAAAATGTCTCATGTTTTTTCCTTTCACATCAAAGAATTTTTTTCATATAAAATTTGGCGTCATTGTTGGAATTTCTTGTACATTTTATTTGCTTCCATGTATATTTGTTCTCTCTCTTCCCAACAAGGTTTCACAACTTTTTAAGTATAGTAAGCATTTAGGTATAGTAAGCATGTTTGTATAATCTAGTTGTATGTACACAAGGGCAGGCTATCTAAAGTGTGATGCATTTAAAAGTATAGGTCTATGTCTGTGCACATTTATTATTGTGACATCAGATGTTGATTCAGTTCAGTCAGCCAATTGAACAGAGGTTAGCCAACCTGCTCTCTTTGTCCAAACATCCAGCAGTTAGAGAACCACTTCAAGTTGTCAATGCATCTAGCACTTGGGAGAACCAATAAAAAAGGCTGTTTGGGGGATTATCCTGAGTTATAAATAAATAAATCAACCCAATGACTCAAAATAGTGTATGAAAACCATAACTAATGATTGGTGATCACTGTTCCAGTAGCCAAGCAGACACAATATAGATTGCAGCCTAGCTTAACCAGGATTAAGCATTCCAACTGGAAACCAGAAAAAATAGACACAGGGATAAGACATACCTTTCTAGTGGAGAAAATTTTGAACTAAACCGTATTCGTCCCCAGCGACAACTGTATATTGGATGTTTCACTGTCACCCTGACAAGGTTGTCATTAAACATATTGAGATAAGACACAATTAAGAGGTGCATTCTTATTGAGAGGAGCATATAGCAACTTGACAAATGTAGAAAGGGCAAAAAAAAAAAAATTCTAAGATAACACTTACAGTGCTGGATAACTGGTCTCTTATACAATACATGGACCTCAACATTGTTTCCAGGGTATCTTTAGCCAACTGGAACTTCACATCCATCTCCCCAGGGTTAGACTGTGCATCATTTTGGAGCTGCACAAAGCCACAAAATACTGAAAATATTTATATGCACATAGAATCAGGTCTGTCCACTTTGCAGTTCTTTGTGTTTACTTCCATTTTTTTCCAAAACTTCTATTTTATTTCAAATTGGTCTGAATTGTAAGAGAAATATGTGAAGCAAGTTGTATACAAAAAGGCCAACTTGTTAAGAGACCTTCAAATTGATAACTGCCACTTTGCAGTTCTTTGTGTTTACTTCCATTTTTTTCCAAAACTTCTATTTTATTTCAAATTGGTCTAAATTGTCAGAGAATTATGTGAAGCAAGTTGTATACAAAAAGTCCAACTTGTTAAGAGACCTTCAAATTGATAACTGCCACAGGGTCTGTCAATTCTTCAACCTGGGTTGCCATATTCCATGTCATTGACTTTAAACGGGGCAAAGTAACCTGAATAAGATTTGTAGAAAATTGAAACTGTTGAACCAATGTACTACAAGTAGATCAATGCAATAGCACATATCGTAGTTGAATTTATGACCTGATCCTTGAGTACTTCTTGCCGCCATTCTCTTTGAAACTTTTGCAGTAACAGTGTTAACAGTCTCTGTAACTCAGGAAGGACCTCAACGGGAAACAACTTTTGAATCTCATCCTTATTAATATTCTGATATACACACCTGCGGATCAACATGCGAAGGCATACCAAAAGCTGCATATTATAGAAGTAAATTCTTTCAGCACTGTCAAGTTGGATAGAGTTAAAAGCAGCAACATAAATTGAAAGCCCTAAACATCATTGTGCTTCTTAAAGCATCGTACCAATACAAACAGAACAAACAAAAACAATTTTTCCAGTACTATCAACACATTTAAGGTTAATGATTTTTCTTATACCTTGGGAACAGAGTTTATTTTCACCCAATTCCTTCCATTTAACTTAAATACGGTATAAATCAGCAGCTTCAACAATGAACTTAAAGTCCCAAATTCTGACTATTACACTCAATTTGACTTGGTTCAACTTAAAGCCCATTTAAAGGGTATGCAAGAATTCCTTGCTTCTAGGAGACATAAGCTATTTAATTTTTTTTATCAGACACTTCTTGCATAAATCTATATCTATATATCAAAAAAACATTGGACTTCTTTAGAGCCCCAATCCGACACTTCACATCTTTCCTCACCACCAAATCCCAAATCCAAATTAGTGGCTTCCATGAATTCTTAATATATCTTATTATTTCAGGCCTATATTTCAAACAATTCCTATACTAAAGCATATTACTCAACATGGGATTAGTATAAAGAGCTTGGAATATAAACTGGGTAAAGTTACAAATAAAAATCCAGTCATGGTTTATTCAGTAGTCCTAAAACACAATCAGCAACACCATGACATTCATATGTGTGTATGTGTTTGTGTGTATATAAATAGGGAGAGAGAGAGAGAGAGGGAAAGAGGGTTGTACTGTACAGGATCAAGGTCAGAATCATGTTGAAGTTGAAGCATTTCTCGGATGATATCGCGGTCAGCATCATCTAGACCAGTCTCGCGAGTTCTCCAAAGGGCTTGAAGAATGTATTCAACTGATTCTTTGGAGTTGGCTCTCACCAGCAGTGGTAAATGGCCCCACAGACTATGCTCCATAACAAATTCTTATTTCTCTCTATCCAGCAATTTGTTCCCTAGGAAGAGAATAAATGAACCCAAAAAAAAATATACACTGTCTTTTACTTGATTATTTGAAAGAGTATGTATCAAGAATGATAGCACACAAAATACCCTCACGCATTTTACATAAAGGTCATCCATAAAGAAGAACAATATGATGGTGACACTAACTTATGTTTTACTAATATAATTAGGGTTTAATAGCCTAGCTTCTATTGTGAGGAAAGGCATCTTAAATATTTTACAAAATTCATAGAAAGTAAGCATATACTGATGAAGTTGGCATTTAAATTTGTGATGAATTGAAGAAACCAATTAAGGGACAAATACACACATACACACACAGATAGATACATAGAAAACAAACAAAATTTCACAAATAAAAAAGGGGTTGGAGAAGCAAAGAAACAAATGAATTCTGAAAAAAGAACTACTAGAAGTCTAGAACCAAAAATTGCTAATGTCAGAAAGTAACCCACAAAAAACGAGAGAGAAACCCAGATGAAAACCACAACTCGTGATGCTACTACTACTACTACTACTACAACTACTACTACAGGAGAAGTCAAAACAACCATTGAAGCAAAAACTGGTTCTGAGTTGAAACTTACAATGAACGAACACCTTGGCCAAAATCAAGCACAGTTATGCGTGTGTGTATATATATATATAGATATATCTATAGAGAGAGAGAGAGAGAGAGAGAGAGAGAGAGGCTATTGAAATTGGTAGGGGGAAACACGGACAACAGGAAGAGGAAGGATGTGGAATTGCAGAGGTCGGTCCACCGTAAGCTTATGGTGAGTGTCAAAGAGGAGGAGAAGACACTTGGAAAGGTATCGGGACAGTGTAGGAAGGTAAAGAATTACAAGGGTATTTCCGTAAAACAACATGCTAAAATCAGGGGCAAAAAGGGTCAAAAAAAATTTGGACCATTTCTCGATTTGTGCGTGTCATCCTTGCGCAGGGGCCATGCTAATCTTCTCTGTATCGTTCCAATTTTATCGTATTTCTGATCACACCATATATTAACTCTAAAGACTTCAGCTTTTTTATCGATGTGGGACTTTCTTTGTTTTAGACCCTTATTACACAACCTAGTAAACCTATAACTCTGCCCTATATATATAGTCTACAAACTTTTGTAATGCATTTATATTCTCATCATCACGACTCATTTATCTATATCGATCTCGTAATTTGTGCCTAGTATAGCGTTTGGATGTAAAGAAACAAGTGGAAACAAAACATACTGACACGTTCTATACATTTACATACGTTAGATATTCTATAGAGTTTAATGTATAATGTGATTGTTCTTAAGAGTATATACTTAATTATAATTAAAATTAAAGGCAATACGGTGAAAAAAAAAAAAAGTTTTCATCCATGTAAACCTCCTTTAATATCAATTAAAAGTAATTTGCTTAAAAAATTATATAACATTATGTAGGAATTGTTGAAATTTTATCACTTCAATGTGGCATATATATATATATATATATATATATATATGCTATACTAGATACATCTATGAAGATGGTTTTAAGAAATTAATTAAAAGGTGATCCAATATTAAGTGCACCTAGTATATAAAATACTAAAAGTGTAAGGATAAATACACTTATAACCAATTTGAGTTGCATACTCTTCAATTAAACTAAGTGATCAATACTTCACTAATGTAATTGGAGTTATTGGTCACTTAATGAAGAGTTAAGTGATTCTTTAATAACTCTTGAAGTTAGCGTTCACTTAATGAACAATTTATGAAGAGTTAGAGTTAATGAAGTCTAACTCTTGGTTTCTTATGTAAATCTTAAAGTCTTTGATTTGAAGGCTAACAATGGACTAGGATTATATAAAAGTCACAAACCATACTCTCTCATTGCGTAACTTGTGAAATGAAACACCACATTTAGTACCCATTAACTATAGAGAGATAAGTGGTTTACTCAACATTGACGAACCTATCTTTTGGCTCAAGTTGAAGTTCAGTCAGCATCGATAACTAAGGTTCAAATCTTTTTCTCATAATGGATCAAGGTAAGATATATACCACTACTAAATTTTATAACTCATGATGTTTTTGTGCATCACGGTTGACTCCTAATGGACAAATTATTGTTAAAAAAAATATCTTAATGTATCTAACAAGTGGTATCAAAGCCAATGTTCTTAATTTTGATGCATGAAACTTATATAAATTTCTTGAATATCTCTATAGATTATTGTGATGGTTAATTATTACTAATGCTCAATATTGATTAATATATGTTACAAAATTCTTTTTGGTTCACATTACGAAGTGTTCAATTTTCAAGTAGTGTTGATAAGCCCAACGGAAGGTCAATGTTATGAATAGTTGGACATTGTGAAATAATTAAACCATATAAAGTTATGATCAGCCCAACGGAGGATCACTATGGTTAAATGAATGTTATAATTAATATATAGTATATTGGAGTATTTTTACCCAATGTGATATAATTCTATATTTATACATTTGACAACCTCATTTATATGGTGGCATAGGTAAGGATGATTCTTATGCCTTACACCTTTTTTGTTTTTGAAAATATATTAATAATATATTGTAATTCGGCCCAACGAAAGAATTACAGTTGTATTATTGGTTTCTTATGATGATATAGTGAATCTATTGATTTTATAATATCTAACTACTTATGATTTTAGTTAGATTTATTGAAAGTGTGGTGTTAATTTGCATGCATAACATATTGTTAATTAGATTATTTTTTTGTAGCTATGAATCATACTGCAATTACTGGATTTATAAGACACAAAGTATTGAGTTTTACTTTTATTTTCTAACCAAGACTTACCTGACAATCTTTTCTCATATGTCATTTCTTATTACAAAAATGACAACGCATCTTATTCCCTTTTGGACTTGATGAGCATCATATTAACATGTGTAGTTTTCAGTTTTGAGCATCTCTTCTTCTTTAACACACATGGCAATTAACTCGCTTATCTTTTACTTCTCTTTTTGTACTTTATAATTAATTTTAAATTGACCAAATTGTGTTGGAAGAGAAGTCATAATGAAGTGAACGAGGAATCCTTTAGAGATTTCCATGTCAATCCTTTCAATTGAAAGGCTTCATCTTCATGATATGCTTACAAACACCACTTTGAACATCATATTTCATTGTCATTATTTTCATCATCAAAGTACTTGCAATAGATTTGGAAGTACCTAAAAATTGTTCTTCAACTGATTTCATATAGCTCATTACATTATTAAAGTTAGAAATAACTCCTCTAATTGCAGGCATAATTGAGCTTTTCATAATCATTAGACTCATGTGATTAGAGTGCTCCCATTTCTCTTATAAAGCCTTTTGTTCTATAGTACTTTCAGCAGTAAGCTTTGTGAGTATAGGCTCCGTAATGCGTAGTCTAAATCCATATAACCAAGAACAATTCAAATATATTCCTTCTATTTCTTAAAATTTATTCCACTCAAATCCTCAATACCAGACAAGTAAGCATACCTTATTGATGTTCTACCAAACACTTAGTGGATTGATACTGGTGTAAGTATTCACATAACAAATTCTATGTAGGGATACCTTACAAGCAAAAGACTAAATAAATGAGAGTAGACCATTACGTTGGGAAATGGAACAGAAGTGGACGTTGAGACCATTGGTACTCTACGTCTAATTTTAGACACTGGTTTCACTATGGATTTAGTAGATACACTTTATGTTCATGTATTTACTATAAACCTTATTTTAGTTCCGAAACTTGATTCTTATGATTATGAATTAAAGTTTGAAAATAATGGAGTTTCTTTATTCCATAATTCGCATTTGGTTGGCTCTGGTACTCTACAGGGTAATATTTATTCATTGAATTTATATTCAAATTATGCACAGTCTCTTCTATCCTTTAATGTGAATGATGTTACCAAGAAAAAGAGAAATCGAGTGAATGAGAATTCATCCATGTTATAGCATAAACGTCTAGGCCACATATCAAGAGAAAGGATGGCACGTCTTGTTAAAGATGTAATTATTAATTTACTTGATTTTTTTGATTTTGGTACTTATGTGAATTGCATAAAAGGGAAGTACACAAAGATTAATAAAAAAGGTACTTCTAGGACCACATAATTGTTAAAAAATAGTTCATATTAATATATGTGGACCTTTTCCAATCTCATCCATTAATGGACATAAATATTTCATTTCATTTATTGATGAATTTTCTAAATATACTTATTTGTATCTTATTCGTGAAAAATTTGAGTCACTTGATATTTTTAAAATCTATGAAGCTGAAGTTGAAAATCAACTTGACATGCGGATTAAAAGTGTGAGATCCGATTGTGTGATACCCCTCAACTCTGAGACATGGGTTGATCAAGCCCAAGCTCAAACCCAAGGGAATATCAAACAATTAAAGTATTTAAACGAATACAGAATACAAAATGAAAAAAAAAAAAAAAAAAAAAAAAAAAAAAAAAAAAAAAACCTGAAAGAATACTAATTAATAAATCATCATTAATTAATCCAATAATAAACTTCTAATAACAAAATCTTCTGATACCAGTAATTAATTAAAATTACAACTTGAAAATCCATCATGTGGACTCTTAATCTAAAATCCAACTGAAATAAAATAATATCTGACTAAAACAATAATAAGGAAATCATACGTTAAGACGGATGAGTGAATAAATCGTCTCTGCTCAGCACGAATAATCCCTAAGCCTTGAACTAATGAACACTTGAAAAATAATGGTGGGTCTGGCCAACAAACAAGTTCTAATCTACTACATCCCAAACAAAGACTCAGAACTCATATACATCCTAGTCAATCCAACAATAAATACATAGTCCGTATATATATAGATACACATTAAAGTAACCTCACTAGACTATAAGGTTGTCTTAACCTAAATAGTAGGCAACATGCAAAATGCACATATAGTGGGCATGAGTACCTAGACCTACCAGGGTACACAACTACACTATATCTAGCTACACATCCCTAGCAATATACGCACCATAAACATGATCCTGAGACTCAAGCTCATATCATGGCATATAACTATATATATATAATCCGTCATATCCAAACATAAAATAAATATCTGGTATGTCATCCAACTGATTCAATTGACCTAACATGAAAAAATGTAGGATTTAACATTTTAGTTAATCCATTCTGTTATACATGAATAGGTATGACTTAACGTTTTTAGTTAATTTGTCTCTAATATGCCACCATCCCATACTGGTGCATATAATGCATACAATTCATAAATGATGCTACAGTTATGATATCACATCAAATAAATTCATACATAGCATAATATAAATCATACAGATATTCCTTTGCATTTAATTGAGCAAAATATAACAATTCTAAATAGCATGTATTAAATTTATCTTATAAAAATTAACATGCATCTCAAATAATTGTACTCATAAAAATTAACATGCATCTCAAATAATTATACTCCTCCACAATCAGATCAAATTTATTTAAAACCAAATAATTGATTAAAATAATTTAATCCAACCATATTTAATTAATTTAACCTTTTAAATAAATTAAATTTTATACTTAACATGTGTACTTAAATCATATTTTTAAAATCCTCCATAATCTAATTTAACAATTTAAAAATCATTAAAACAAATTAAACAGCCCTAGTGTAACAACCCGAAATTAGTGGCTATTGCAAAACATGATTTGGAAATTGTCCGACTAAATTATCCAAAAATCATCCAATATAAAAATCCATAGTCCAGTCATAGTCCCAAATTTACTTAAATAACCTCAAACACACTTCCGTTGCGCTACTCCGATAATTACTCACTTAAACACATCACAAACAATTTTAAAACAAAATCTGCGCTGCAATTAGTTAAAAATTCGTAGAAAATTCATTTTAAATCAAAACGGAGCAAACAAAAATGATTTGAAAACTAGATTCAAAGTAAAACATAATTGAGCAACTCACAGAGGCTGAAGGTTTTCCATTTA